ACCAAAATATAACTTTTTGGTAAAAACTCAACTCGTCGTGTTTGGAGGACAAAGAATGCTGAGTTGCATCCAAAGATCACCATACCTACTGTGAAGCATGGGGGTGGAAACATCATGCTTTGGGGCTGTTTTTCTGCAAAGGGAGCAGGACGACTGATCCGTGTAAAGGAAAGAATGAATGGGGCCATGTATCGTGAGATTTTGAGTGAAAACCTCCTTCCATCAGCAAGGGCATTGAAGATGAAACGTGGCTGGGTCTTTCAGCATGACAATGATCCCAAACACACCGCCCGGGCAACGAAGGAGTGGCTTCGTAAGAAGCATTTCAAGGTCCTGGAGTGGCCTAGCCAGTCTCCAGATCTCAACCCCATAGAAAATCTTTGGAGGGAGTTGAAAGTCCGTGTTGCCCAGCGACAGCCCCAAAACATCACTGCTCTAGAGGAGATCTGTATGGAGGAATGGGCCAAAATACCAGCAACAGTGTGTGAAAACCTTCTGAAGACTTACAGAAAACGTTTGACCTGTGTCATTGCCAACAAAGGGTATATAACAAAGTATTGAGAAACTTTTGTTATTGACCAAATACTTATTTTCCACCATAATTTGCAAATGAATTCATAAAAAATCCTACAATGTGATTTTCTGGATTTGTTGTCTGTCATAGTTGATGTGTACCTATGATGACAATTACCGGCCTCTCTCATCTTTTTAAGTGGGAGAACTTGCACAATTGGTGGCTGACTAAATACTTTTTTCCCCCACTGTATTTAATCATATTTAAACGTTTTTATAAATTGTTTATTTTTCAATAGCTAAATGAGTGCAGATCAAGTCTTGATATCATGAATTGGACTCCTGCCCGTAAATTGATGAAAATCAGCATCGTCAACAAGCTAGTTAATGCTAGCTAGAAGGTGTGCGTTTTCATTTGAATTACACCTACTGACTTTAAGTTGTTTTTCACCATCGGTGACCCAAGAGTAGTCTATGCATGCAGAGTTGGCAGTGGGCCAGCTATTTCATTGCTCAGGAGGATACTTCTGAAGTACGGAGTGGGCTGTACTATGTGGGGAGCTAAAATTTCATCAGAGTCCCAATACAGAGAATCTGCAGACGGCGGAGACGCCCTGATGACCTCGAGCTGCCTGCCTACCTGCCCTTGGACATGCTGACCTGACCACCACCTCCGACCACCACCTCCGCTGACCATCTAGTTTTGAGCTTCCAGATCCTCTCATGACCGCGGCTGCCCACCTGCTGCAAGAAGCACTCAAACAGACTTGATCTAGATGATCTAGCCTATATTTAATTTTAAATGAGTTCTTGTTGTTTTTTTGTATTATTATTATTTTTTATTTTTTATAGGGGGTAGATCAGCTTAATGTTGCAGATAGATTGTAAATTACATCAATGTAATTGTCTGCATCACTTCCAATCCCCCATGTTTATATATATATACAGTGAGGGAAAAAAGTATTTGATCCCCTGCTGATTTTTTACGTTTGCCCACTGACAAAGAAATGATCAGTCTATAATTTTAATGGTAGGTTTATTTGAACCGTGAGAGACAGAATAACAACAATAAAATCCTGAAAAACGTCAAAAATGTTATCAATTGATTTGCATTTTAATGAGGGAAATAAGTATTTGACCCCCTCTCAATCAGAAAGATTTCTGGCTCACAGGTGTCTATAATACAGGTAACGAGCTGAGATTAGGAGCACACTCTTAAAGGGAGTGCTCCTAATCTCAGCTTGTTACCTGTATAAAAGACACCTGTCCACAGAAGCAATCAATCAATCAGATTCCAAACTCTCCACCATGGCCAAGACCAAAGAGCTCTCCAAGGATGTCAGGGACAAGATTGTAGACCTACACAAGGCTGGAATGGGCTACAAAACCATCGCCAAGCAGCTTGGTGAGAAGGTGACAACAGTTGGTGCGATTATTTGCAAATGGAAGAAAAACAAAAGAACTGTCAATCTCTCTCGGCCTGGGGCTCCATGCAAGATCTCACCTTGTGGAGTTGCAATGATCATGAGAACGGTGAGGAATCAGCCCAGAACTACACGGGAGGATCTTGTCAATGATCTCAAGGCAGCTGGGACCATAGTCACCAAGAAAACAATTGGTAACACACTACGCCGTGAAGGACTGAAATCCTGCAGCGCCCGCAAGGTCCCCCTGCTCAAGAAAGCACATATACAGGGCCGTCTGAAGTTTGCCAATGAACATCTGAATGATTCAGAGGAGAACTGGGTGAAAGTGTTGTGGTCAGATGAGACCAAAATCGAGCTCTTTGGCATCAACTCAACTCGCCGTGTTTGGAGGAGGAGGAATGCTGCCTATGACCCCAAGAACACCATCCCCACTGTCAAACATGGAGGTGGAAACATTATGCTTTGGGGGTGTTTTTCTGCTAAGGGGACAGGACAACTTCACCGCATCAAAGGGACGATGGACGGGGCCATGTACCATCAAATCTTGGGTGAGAACCTCCTTCCCTCAGCCAGGGCATTGAAAATGGGTCGTGGATGGGTATTCCAGTATGACAATGACCCAAAACACACGGCCAAGGCAACAAAGGAGTGGCTCAAGAAGAAGCACATTAAGGTCCTGGAGTGGCATAGCCAGTCTCCAGACCTTAATCCCATAGAAAATCTGTGGAGGGAGCTGAAGGTTCGAGTTGCCAAACGTCAGGCTCGAAACCTTAATGACTTGGAGAAGATCTGCAAAGAGGAGTGGGACAAAATCCCTCCTGAGATGTGTGCAAACCTGGTGGCCAACTACAAGAAACGTCTGACCTCTGTGATTGCCAACAAGGGTTTTGCCACCAAGTACTAAGTTATGTTTTGCAGGGGGTGAAATACTTATTTCCCTCATTAAAATGCAAATCAATTTATAACATTTTTGACATGCGTTTTTCTGGATTTTTTTGTTGTTATTCTGTCTCTCCCTGTTCAAATAAACCTACCATTAAAATTATAGACTGATCATGTCTTTGTCAGTGGGCAAACGTACAAAATCAGCAGGGGATCAAATACTTTTTTCCCTCACTGTATATATATATACAGTGGGGAGAACAAGTATTTGATACACTGCCGATTTTGCAGGTTTTCCTACTTACAAAGCATGCAGAGGTCTGTAATTTTTATCATAGGTACACTTCAACTAGCCTTAGACCGTAGCGCCACTACCAAGTTTCGAAATGGCACCTTGGGTATTCTAGTGCTCTAACGCTCAACAGTAAGTTAAGACCCCGACTGAGTTCCTAAACATTTTATGTCGAGATGCGGACCTCGATGTCCTTATACAGTGCATTTGGAAAGTATTCAGACCTCTTGACTTGTTCCACATTTTGTTACGTTACAGCCTTATTCTGAAATGGATTAAATAGTTTTCCCCCCTAATCAATCTACACACAATACCCCATAATGACAAAGCAAAAACAGTTTTTTTTTTATGTTTGCAAATGTATATAAAAAAAAACAGGAAATATCACATTTACATAAGTATTCAGACCCTTTACTCAGTACTTTGTTGAAGCACCTTTGGCAGCGATTACAGCCTCGAGTCTTCTTGGGTATGACTCTACAAGCTTGGCACACCTGTATTTGGGGAGTGACTCCCATTCGTATCTGCAGATCCTGTCAAGCTCTGGCAGGTTGGATGGGGAGCGTCGCTGAACAGCTATTTTTAGGTCTCTCCAGAGATGTTCGATCGGGTTCAAGTCCGGGCTCTGGCTGGGCCACTCAAGAACATTCAGAGACTTGTCCCGAAGCCACTACGGCGGTGTCTTGGCTGTGTGCTTAGGGTTGTTGTCCTGTTGGAAGGTGAACCTTCGCTCCAGTCTGAGGTCCTGAGCACTCTGGAGCAGGTTTTCATCAAGGATCTCGCTGTACTTCACTCTGTTAATCTTTCCCTTGATCCTGACTAGTCTCCCATTCCCTGCCGCTGAAAAAAATCCCCACAGCATGATGCTGCCACCACCATGCTTCAACACCAAGACTCTTCCTAGAGCTGGCTGCCCGGCCAAACTGAGCAATTGGGGGAGAAGTGCCTTGGTCAGGGATTGATTATATAGGGAAGTGATTATACATGTAAGAAATATATAATTATGTACAAGTAATAAAACTGAACTGGTATAGTAGTGACAAAAGCACTCAATTATATAATACAAAGGCAATCACAGATTGCAAATCCTCAAGGCCATAGTAAAAATATCCAGTCTACTTCTCTTAATGTATGTTCCTAAACTTTAATGCCTAGTCTGGAAAATAGGAAAATCTGCCATTCATTTGAGGGGTCATAGGTCACCTCCATGTTGCACACCATGTCCAGGAAGTCAGCCAAGAGGTGAGCTTTCACACCCGATTACATTCAGGTGCCTTTTTGTTATCATTACTGATTTCACTGCAACCATGAATATGCTTACTTATTGTAGCATCATGGTACATCATTCAAAACATGGTCACATCATCTGTGATCTCATGTATATTTCGTTTGGGGTTATAGGTGTTGGCTTTCTAATTTCTCAGAGATAAATACTTCTCTTGGTTAATTACAATATTGTGAACACACAATACATGTCATCGGTGACATACTGCTGGTCACTGACATTTTTGCACAGCTCTGAAATGTTTCCCTTTTACGGTCATTTTGTACTCAGGCATAACAAAAAAGCAAACATTGTAGCACCACCTTTTCACCTCGTCTTTTCTGTTAAGACCTGCACAAATCCACACGCACACGTGCACACACACACCTGCAAAAAGCGAATAGTTCACTCTTACACTGTAAAACTGAAACCAGTTAACTTTTCATTTCGAAGAACTGGAAGGGCAAATACTGTCCTGCCATAGTGAGGGAGGAGCTAGTGGCTAGAAGCTAGCCTAATGGTATATGGACCCAAACGGGGATAGCCTAGCGGCTAACTGCTAGCTTAATGCTATTTGGACCCAACAGGTATAGCCTAGTGTCTAACTGCTATCCTAATGCTATATGAACCCTAACAGGGATAGCTTTGCGGCTACCTTCAGGACTAATGCTATATGGACCCTAATAGGGATAGCATAGCGGCTAACTGCTAGCCTAATACTATAAGTTATTTTGGCCACCAGGAGGTGCAGAAGTCATGGCACGTTAGGTCAAGGGTGTTTACATTTACATTTACATTTTAGTCATTTAGCAGACGCTCTTATCCAGAGCGACTTACAGGAGCAATTAGGGTTAAGTGCCTTGCTCAAGGGCACATTTACGTCATTTAGCAGACGCTCTTATCCAGAGTGACTCACAAATTGGTGCATTCACCCTATAGCCAGTGGGATAACCACTTTACAATTTTTTTGGGGGGGGGGGGGGGGTAGTGTTCTGGCTAGCTCTTTGTTATAACGCACAGAAAAGTAGTAACAAAATAATAAGAGTCTATTTTCTTTCTAATTTAAATGTCTCTCCCCATGACGGCAGACTTGGTTCCGTTACGCCTGCTCTCCATATTGTCAGCCTTCCTTCTTTCTCCTCTTCAGCTGATCTCTGTTCAGTCGTTGTGGAGTTTCTCGACACCACCCTGAAGGGAGCGAGAGGAAAGCCCATGTTCATATATCATGCTCAACATCTGAATCAATATCAGCAAACAACAGACATCTTCCTACAGTGGTAACATCCACAATGGGGATCGGAGAAGAACATTATTGACGACTTTAACATAAGGCTGAGTTCTGCAGTTCTTGACAGTAGACTATAGGGCTATTATACAGTGGACCATGGTGTCCAACTGTGAAAAGATTATCTAAAACTGGGGTTGCAGTAAAATGTGATACCCCTTCCTCAAGGCCTCCCTAATCCCCCTAAATGGTATACGTGTCTAGAAGAGAGAGTTCTCCCTCTCCCTCTCACTTTTCCAGTTTCTCCTGATTTAGAACATCCTGTCAGAGCCCTGAGTCATGTGTTAAGCACCACCGTGCCTCACCGTAGGGATGGTTCCAGGTTTCCTCTAGACGTGATGCTTGGTATTCAGGTCAAAGAGTCAATCTTGGTTTCATCAGACAAGAGAATCTTGTTTCTCATGGTCTGAGAGCAAGGGCGGTGTGTTCATTAGGGCGATATGGGCGACGCACTGCCAAACGGGAAAAGGAAGGGATTTTTTTCTAATCAATTATATCACGGCAACAGTAGTTATCAGTGTTCTAATCTAGATGTCTGATCTGCCACTAAATGTCCAATCAGGCTAAAGTTGTGCTTCAAATGGCCCCGCCCCTTTTGGGGCGATTTCAGTCAGGTTGAAAATCGCCCCAGAAGTCTCTCATAGACTCTCATGTAAAATCTTTTTTTTTCAAATATCAGAGCTTTCAATACAATCTCTATGGGTTCCGGGAGGGCTTGCACTTACGCGCTTTCGTCATACGTCGGCGAACAAATCAAGATAAATTGAAATTGGCAACGAAACAATTAGGACCTCCCAGACCAAATTTAATAATTCAACAGGTTTCTACTAAAGGGGGAAAGTCCTACACCCGAGGATTTTCCAAAAATTGGTGCGAACGAAAAACCTGGCTAGCAGGCTGCGATGTAGCTAATGCAGTCTTCTGCTACCCCTGCTTACTCTTTCACCCTGAAGGCGGCACGGCAGACAGCACCGCTTGGACAGCGACTGGTGTAACGGACATGCACCATCTTTCAGAAAAGATTAAGAAACATGAGCTGTCAAAGACCCACATGGATAGCTGTTTGAGATTGTCTGCTTTTGGGAGAGTGAACATTGCCACTCAACTGGATGAGGGATACAGGCTAGCTGTCCGCCACCACAACGATGAGGTTAGCAAGAACCGCCACATCCTCAGCCGGCTAATCCAGTGTGTGAAGTTTTGCGGAGTGTTTGAGTTAGCTTTGCGAGGCAAAGATGAAACTGAGGGCTCCACCAACCCTGGTATTTTTCTTGGACTTGTCAACTTTGTGGCACAATTAGATGAGGTGTTTTATGGAAATGCATATTGTTTATGCAGTGTTGAGGAATGTGAAAGAACACCCTTGATTATTTTTACTGTGATAACTTATTTTGCTTTTGTAAGCCAACACTTTTGAGATCAGTCAATAAATGCTTCTGGTATTGACTTATATGCTGCCCCTGTCTTCATGTTGTTGCTGGACATATCTTTTTTAAAATGTGTGTAGGCCACCTAAATCATCAGAAAAATTGCCCCCCCTGAGAATTTTTTCAGGAGCCGCCACTGTCTGAGAGTCCTTTACGTCGCTTTTAGCAAACTCCAAGCGGGCTGTCATGTGCCTTTTACTGAGGAGAGGCTTCTGTCTGGCCACTCTACCATAAAGGCCTGATTGGTGGAGTTCTTCAGAGATGGTTGTCCTTCTGGTAGGTTCTCCCATCTCCACAGAGGAACTCTGGAGCTCTGTCAGAGTGACCATCGGGTTCTTCGTCACCTCCCTGACCAAGGCCCTTCTCCCCCAATTGCTCAGTTTGGCCGGGCAGCCAGCTCTAGGAAGAGTCTTGGTGATTTCAAACTTCTTCCATTTAAGAATGATGGAGGCCACTGTGTTCTTTGGGACCTTCAATGCTGCAGAAATGTTTTGGTACCCTTCCCCAGATCTGTGCCTCGACACAATCCTGTCTCGGAGCTCTACAGACAATTCCTTCGACCTCATGGTTTGGTTTTTCCAAATCATGTCCAATCAATTGAATTTACCACAGGTGGAAACATCTCAAGTATGATCAATGGAAACAGGATGCACCTGAGCTTAATTTCGAGTCTCATAGCAAAGGGTCTGAATACTTATGTAAATAAGGTATTTCCGTTTTTTATTTTTTTTATAAATTCGTAAAAATGTCTAAAAACGTGTTTTTGCTTCGTCATTATGGGGTGATGTATGTAGATTGATGAGAATTTTTTTTATTAATTCCATTTTAGAAGAAGGCTGTATCGTAACAAAATGTGGAAAAAGTCAAGGGGTCTGAATACTTCCTGAAATAAAAATCTAATCAAATTGTATTGGTCACATACACATATTTAGCAGATGTAGCAAAATGCTTGTGTTCCTAGCTCCAACAGTGCAGTAGTATCTAACAATTCACAACAATACACACAAATCTAAAAGTAAAAGAATGGAATTAAGAAATATATACCGCCGCTCTGATATCCAAAAATTATTTCCGGCTGTATGTAATAACACAAAAAAAGTTCTGGGCTAATAATGTATGAAATAACACACACAAAAAACAATACTGCAAAGTTGCTTAGGAGCTAGAAGCAGAGCTGCCATGTTTGTCGGTGCCATCTCTATTACATACACTGTATGTAGCCATGTAGCTCAGGCCCTGTGTACTGTACATAGACAGGTACACAATCATATCATATCACACTCACAATGATTAGAACTAGCACAGTAAGGCTCCCTAGAGCACACTGACATGATAACATGCTGTTGGCTTTGACACCACCTGAGGTGGATGGAAAATAATATGGTACCATAATACGTACAGCCCAACTGTCAAGTGTTGGGTCAAGTTGGCCCACAGGGCACTGTATCAGGACCTGTGTGGTTTTCTAACTGCTGATGTATGAGAGGAGGACGTGATGCAGAGGAGAGAGGGAGGCAGAGGAAAGAGAGACAAGGGCAGAGGAGAGAGAGAGAGATTTGTGCTGGCTTGAACGGTTGTCTATTGGAGTCCTTCAGTCAGCTCTGGGGGAAATGAAAAGGGTTGAGGCCTCGCCAATTATTCTGACTGAGTGGAGGAGGAGATATTAAGAGGGGGAACGTAGCCGTGGCATGTGGCGCTGGATCGCTGCCCTGTCGGGAGAGACCCAACGCTCTCAGAACGAGGGCTGAATCCGGCCTGAAAATTGGCCTCACTCCCAGAAATGTCCCCAGTGCAAAAGGTTAACTGTCAGTCCCCTGCTAGGTATAAATAGAAGACTGCTCTCCAGAAAGGCGTGTCACGAGGGGGGAGCAGATTGGGTAGGGGGTGCTCCTCCTCTTATGATAGTGATCCTAGTGACAGGCAGGGGTATATAAGTTCAACGAGGGGAGGGTTGACAGGGAGTGAGAGAAAAGGGGAAAATAGATGAGTACATTATAATGGTAGTCGAGACTGTGACAGGGGCCTCAGACAAAAGACTGTCCTGCTCTATTCAGCTTCCCCTGCCACAGACACAACAATAACAAGCCGGGCTAATCGAGCTTCCAATGGAGCTGCGCTGATGCCCCAGCACTTTTGGACACTATTGCTTTGTGGAAGCCATCTTGACACGTAGTAATTAAGTGGCAGGAATTCCTGTTGTCATCCAGTCTTGTAAACAAACGTGGAGTTCAATGGCAGATCGAGTTAGAATTAGGACAGTGATGAATAAAATGGATGAGAAAGAAATCCATTCTCTAAATGAAAACGGACAAAGTATTCTTTTCCTCTATAATACTGCAGTTTGTCCTAATAATCCTCTAACTATGCTGTAGCTTGTGCCTTTAATAATCGTTGCCCTTGCACACCCAGAGAGAGCGATGACTCACTAGGTTACTCAGCAACTGTTGAAAGCATCAGCTTAGCAAGTAAAGGTTGAAGGGCAGCACCATGGGAGTTATTCATAATAATATGTCCCGAATGACACCCTATTCCCTATATAGTGCACTATATAAGGCAGGGATGGGCAACTTTGATGGGGGTGAGGGCCACAAAAATAATTTTAAGCCCTACCCTACCCAGGCCCAATTGCTTCTGCCAAATTTAAGGCCCTGCCCGAAACCTGAAATCACTTCCTACGTTAGTAAATCCATTAGCTGCTCCTCTCTGTCTGTCTGTCACTCGCTCCTTACGCTCAGCTCGCTCTGCATGTACTCTGCTCATGGCGCTCTGAGTATGTGAGTATCCATAACAACGGCTCCGCTTGGACTGCTCTGCTCTCAATAAAGTGTCATGACAGCAGTTTGCTGTTAGCTAATTTTCGTAACTCTAAACTACGACAAAACTCAAAGAACATTATTATTTTCTGTGAAATAATCTCTCCTGTTTTATAGTTGATGAGGTTGATGCACTTCTGACACCATGTTATGATCTTAGTCAGATATGAATGTACTGCGCAGCAGAGCACGCGCAAATGGCTCAGTTTCAAAATGTTAGTGATCAATTAGTAATACCCGAGCCCTGCCCGTACCCTAGTTATTAATGAAAAAACAGGCCTTACCCGGCTCTAACCCGATGTATAATGTCAGGGCTGTTGGGCTCGGGTCGGATAGCAGAGCTCTGGTCTGCATACACCCTGACTTAATACTGTTTTGCTGACATGGGCTAATTGAGTGACTGTCACTAACCAGGTTTCCATCCTACCTGTTTATGCGCGTAAAGTACATGTCGGAAAAAAAAAATGAAGGCCTGATGGAAACAGCAAATTTGTCGGTAAACTTGCCAAATGTTGCCAAAACTAAATACACTAGACAAGGTGGGATCCTTTTGTGTCAGTAAAATGAATTATGCGAGAAATGGAGGTGGAAACACTTTTATGCGCAAATATTGATATGATAACCATCATATCGAAGAAAACTTGGACTCACACGATGACATGTTGTGTGGTCCTCCCACTACAACTCAGGAAAGCATGCAGTTTATTAGGCTACAGATTAAATAAATGACGATGAACTTCACAGGGTGGTGAAAGTGCACGGTGATGAGCTTGATGCTCCTTTCCAATAAATAGAGGCTCCTCTGTCCTCCACTCGTTACCTGTATTAATGGCACCTGTTTGAACTTGTTATCAGTATAAAAGACACCTGTCCACAACCTCAAACAGTCACAATCCAAACTCCACTATGGCCAAGACCAAAGAGCTGTCAAAGGACACCAGAAACAAAATTGTAGACCTGCACCAGGCTGGGAAGACTGAATCTGCAATAGGTAAGCAGCTTGGTTTGAAGAAATCAACTGTGGGAGCAATTATTAGGAAATGGAAGACATACAAGACCACTGATAATCTCCCTCGATCTTGATCTCACCCCGTGGGGTCAAAATGATCACAAGAACGGTGAGCAAAAATCCCAGAACCACACGGGGGGACCTAGTGAATGACCTGCAGAGAGCTGGGACCAAAGTAACAAAGCCTACCATCAGTAACACACTACGCCGCCAGGGACTCAAATCCTGCAGTGCAAGACGTGTCCCCCTGCTTAAGCCAGTACATGCCCAGGCCCGTCTGAAGTTTGCTAGAGTGCATTTGGATGATCCAGAAGAGGATTGGGAGAATGTCATATGGTCAGATGAAACCAAAATATAACTTTTTGGTAAAAACTCAACTCGTCGTGTTTGGAGGACAAAGAATGCTGAGTTGCATCCAAAGAACACCATACCTACTGTGAAGCATGGGGGTGGAAACATCATGCGTTGGGGCTGTTTTTCTGCAAAGGGACCAGGACGACTGATCCGTGTAAAGGAAAGAATGAATGGGGCCATGTATTGTGAGATTTTGAGTGAAAACCTCCTTCCATCAGCAAGGGCATTGAAGATGAAACGTGGCTGGGTCTTTCAGCATGACAATGATCCCAAACACACCGCCCGGGCAACGAAGGAGTGGCTTCATAAGAAGCATTTCAAGGTCCTGGAGTGGTCTAGCCTGTCTCCAGATCTCAACCCCATAGAAAATCTTTGGAGGGAGTTGAAAGTCTGTGTTGCCCAGCGACAGCCCCAAAACATCATTGCTCTAGATAGAGGGTGTTATTATTCTGGTGACATGATGATCGATGCTTGGCTGCCTTTGACAAATAAAAATAATCTTGCTCTTTTGTCCATAATAATCTCTTCATGTAGGCTATACCTGCACTGTTTCTGTGAGCAGTTGGCTAGAGCGCACATGCCAATACCAGAGTGGTCATTTATTTTGTGCACCATATCATTGCGCAAAGACTTTTATCCGCAACAAGTCAACCTAGCTATTAACTGACATAACAAAATAAAAACTGATGATGCACAACCAAATGTCTAAATTGCACCTTGTGTATTCTACTATTCTAAAGGGGGAAATTGTAAAGGGGGAAATTGTAAAGGGGGAAATTGTTCCGTGGGCCTACAAAAGAAGGGGCAGCCGCCAGTTGCCCATCCCTGATATAGGGTATAGGGTACCCTTTTGGACGCAGACAGAATCTCCACTATACCTCCTGCGTTTTCCAAGACAGAATAAAACAATTTATTAGTGATCAAAATTCTGAATAAAATAGCATCTATATTTTTGTTATGTCTCACTTGCATACCTTATGTGTTTGTATCAATTACATTTTCAGATGGCAAACTTACCAATGGGGTAAACTCTCATACAAACACTTCATGCATTGGGCTCAAAATGATGTGCACACAAATCTTCTTGTATCTGTATGGTTGGCAGAACGATGTAGACATAATGTAGATACGCACACGTCATTAGGAGTTCCTTTTTATTTTCCAAGGTAATAAAAATGATGCACAGCTGAAAACACATACTCACACTCTCTACACATTGAAATAATAGGTGTTTCAACCACCCCAATAATAAAGCTTCCTTTTCTCCCAGCAGCACACCTGGAGTGCATCCAAAATGGCACCCTATATAGTGCACTACTTTTGACCACGGCCCATATGTATATAGGGAATAGGGTGCCATTTGGGACGAACACCTGAAATTGAGCAAAGATTCACACCGAACCAGGCGTACCAACCAACCCCTCTGTGATCTATACATCACAAAACATAACACATAATAATCTGTATTCCCATTTACTAACATTTTAACTACTAGGAGAATTTACAAACAGTTTGACACAATGTTTTTTATCTTCTCACGGTGAGAATAGTCATTGGTATACAGTCATCTCAGACATACTTTTTGTTTTTTTTACAAAAACTGCTGTTATTGCTTATTTTATGCACCTTTTCTATATCCACACTGCATCTGAGTCCACGGAGTCTCATCTCTTAACCTTTGTCAGAAATAATAAATAAGAATAGTCGGCTCAAGTATATATGTGATTGCACTTTTATTCGTTAGCCCCCCATCTATTGAACTAACTAGGTCTAGTGTGGTAATACCTGTCTGATTATATAGGGAAGTGATTATACATGTAAGCAATATATAATGATGTACAAGTAATAAAACTGAACTGGTATAGTAGTGACAAAAGCACTCAATTATATAATACAAAGGCAATCACAGATTGCAAATCCTCAAGGCCATAGTAAAAATGTCCTGTCTCCTTCTCTTAATGTATGTTCCTAAACTTTAATGCTTAGTCTGGAAAATTCAAAATAGGAAATCTGCCATTCATTTGAGGGGTCATAGGTCACCTCCAGGTTGCACACCATGTCCAGGAAGTCAGCCAAGAGGTGAGCTTTCACACCCGATTACATTCAGGTGCCTTTTTGTTATCATTACTGATTTCACTGCAACCATGAATATGCTTACTTATTGTAGCATCATGGTACATCATTCAAAACATGGTCACATCATCTGTGATCTCATGTATATTTGGTTTGGGGTTATAGGTGTTGGCTTTCTAATTTCTCAGAGATAAATACTTCTCTTGGTTAATTACAATATTGTGAACACACAATACATGTCATCGGTGACATACCGCTGGTCACTGTCTCTGTGAGTATCGGACATTTTTGCACAGCTCTGAAACGTTTCCCTTTTAAGGTCATTTTGTACTCAGGCATAACAAAAAAGCAAACATTGTAGCACCACCTTTTCACCTCATCTTTTCTGTTAAGACCTGCACAAATCCACACGTGCACACACACACCTGCAAAAAGCGAATAGTTCACTCTTACACTGTAAAACTGAAACCAGTTAACTTTTCATTTCGAAGAACTGGAAGGGCAAATACTGTCCTGCCATAGTGAGGGAGGACCTAGTGGCTAGAAGCTAGCCTAATGGTATATGGACCCAAACAGGGATAGCCTAGCGGCTAACTGCTAGCATAATGCTATTTGGATCCAAACAGGTATAGCCTAGCGGCTAACTGCTAGCCTAATGCTATATGGACCCAAACGGGGTTGGCCTAGCGGCTAACTGCTAGCTTAATGCTATTTGGACCCAAACAGGTATAGCCTAGCGTCTAACTGCTATCCTAATGCTATATGAACCCTAACAGGGATAGCTTTGCGGCTAGCTTCAGGACTAATGCTACATGGACCCTAATAGGGATAGCATAGCGGCTAACTGCTAGCCTAATACTATAAGTTATTTTGGCCACCAGGAGGTGCAGAAGTCATGGCACGTTAGGTCAAGGGTGTTCTGGCTAGCTCTTTGTTATAACGCACAGAAAAGTAGTAACAAAATAATAAGAGTCTATTTTCTTTCTAATTTAAATGTCTCTCCCCATGACGGCAGACTTGGTTCCGTTACGCCTGCTCTCCATATTGTCAGTCTTCCTTCTTTCTCCTCTTCAGCTGATCTCTGTTCAGTCGTTGTGGAGTTTCTCGACACCACCCTGAAGGGAGAGAGAGGAAAGCCCATGTTCATATATCATGCTCTACATCTGAATCAATATCAGCAAACAACAGACATCTTCCTACAGTGGTAACATCCACAATGGGGATCGGAGAAGAACATTATTGATGACTTTAACATAAGGCTGAGTTCTGCAGTTCTTGACAGTAGACTATAGGGCTATTATACAGTGGACCATGGTGTCCAACTGTGAAAAGATTATCTAAAACTGGGGTTGCAGTAAATTGTGATACCCCTTCCTCAAGGCCTCCCTAACCCCCCTAAATGGTATACGTGTCTAGAAGAGAGAGTTCTCCCTCTCCCTCTTCCTGTTTCTCCTGATTTAGAACATCCCGTCAGAGCCCTGAGTCATGTGTTAAGCATATGTAGACCATACCAGAACATAATGTACGTCCCAGAACTTAGTTGGTCTTATACAGGAATATTTCTTGCATTCAAGAGCGCTAAAGACAAAATTAAACCATCAACATTTACAGACAAAATGACATACAGTGGCTTGTGAAAGTATTCACCCCACTTTTTCCTATTTAGTTGCCTTACAACCTGGAATAAAAATTGGGGTTTGTATCATTTGATTTACACAACATGCCTACCACTTTGAAGATGCAAAATATTTTTTGGGTGTGAAACAAACAAGACAAAAAAACAGAAAACTTGAGCGTGCATAACTATTCACCCCCCCAAAGTCAATACTTTGTAGAGCCACCTTTTGCAGCAATTACAGCTGCAAGTCTCTTGGGGTATGTCTCTATAAACTTGGCACATTTAGCCACTGGGATTTTTTCCCATTCTTCAAGGCAAAATTGCTCCAGCTCCTTCAAGTTGGATGGGTTCCGCTGGTGTCCAGCAATCTTTAAGTCATACCACAGATTCTCAATTGGATTGAGGTCTGGGCTTTGACTAGGCCATTCCAAGACATTTAAATGTTTCCCCTTAAACCATTGCTTTATCGGTATGCTTAGGGTCATTGTCCTGCTCCGTCCCAGTCTCAAATCTCTGGAAGACTGAAACAGGTTTCCCTCAAGAATTTCCATGTATTTAGCGCCATCCATCATTCCTTCAATTCTGACCAGTTTCCCAGTCCCTGCCGATGAAAAACATCCCCACAGCATGATGCTGCCACCACCATGCTTCACTGTGGGGATGGTGTTCTCGGGGTGATGAGAGGTGTTGCGTTTGCGCCAGACATAGCGTTTTCCTTGATGGCCATATAGCTCAATTTTAGTCTCATCTGACCAGATTACCTTCTTCCATATGTTTGGGGAGTCTCCCACATGCCTTTTGGCGAACACCAAATGTGTTTGCTTATTTTTTTCTTTAAGCAATGGCTTTTTTCTGGCCACTCTTCCGTAAAGCCCAGCTCTGTGGAATGTATGACTTAAAGTGGTCCTATGGACAGATACTCCAATCTCCGCTGTGGAGCTTTGCAGCTCCTTCAGGGTTATCTTTGGTCTCTTTGTTGCCTCTCTGATTAATGCCCTTCTTGCCTGGTCCGTGAGTTTTGGTGGGCGGCCCTCTCTTGGCAGGTTTGTTGTGGTGCCATATTCTTTCCATTTTTTAATAATGGATTTAATGGTGCTCCGTGGGATGTTCAAAGTTTCTGATATTTTTTTATAACCCAACCCTGATCTGTACTTCTCCACAACTTTGTCCCTGACCTGTTTGGAGAGCTCCTTGGTCTTCATGGTGCCGCTTGCTTGGTGGTGCCCCTTGCTTAGTGGTGTTGCATACTCTGGGGCCTTTCAGAACAGGTGTATATATAATGAGATCATGTGACACTTAAATAAAGTCCACCTGTGTGCAATCTAACTAATTATGTGACTTCTGAAGGTAATTGGTTGCACCAGATCTTATTTAGGGGCTTCATAGCTAAGGGGGTGAATACATATGCACACACCACTTTTTCGTTATTTATTTTTTAGAATTTTTTGAAAGAAGTTATTTTTTTCATTTCACTTCAACAATTTGGACTATTCTGTGTATATCCATTAGATGAAATCCAAATAAAAATCAATTTAAATTACAGGTTGTAATGCAACAAAATAGGAAAAACGCCAAGGGGGAGGAATACCTTTGCAAGGCACTGTAGATGACAACAACCACATAAAACAGAAAGGTAAAGCTACATAACCAGTTATACGTAGGCTACTGAAGAAGGATTAAAGGAAAAGCGCTTTCAATATTGTTATTTATTAAGGCAATATTTCTGTCATTTCAAACTTTTGGAAGCACAAAAACTTGAGTCAGCTTCTCAACAGTTCAATCGCTGGCCTGATTTCATACTATACTACAACTACAAGTATAATGAACAAAAGCTCAAATTAACACATCACTAAAAATGGCTTCTAACTGTGTAATTCCTAACCACTACTCTTTCTTAATGGCCTTTAAAATGCTACTCCAGCCAAGCCCCGATCAAATATTAGCTACAATAATCAGGGTCGTTTTTATTAGTGCAAACTGTAGCAAAATGTTTTGCAATGAAAAACCAAAATAACCGTTTCATATTGGACAAGTTCTTGTAGTCCCTCACTGTTTCAGTCCATTTTCTTCTGTTTCGTGCCTAGTGAATGCAACCCAGTTGACTGAACTCTAGTGCTAACGCGTTCCTGCCACAACCAAGCTGGCTGCTTTGTTGAGAAACACAAGATGCAAGTTTGAAAACAATTCAAAGGCAACTCTAAAAGACTGAATGAAAGGTAAACAGTCTTAATCCATCTCAGAGAGAGACAGAGTGAAAAAGAGTGAGAGAAAAATAAATAAAAGAAAGCAAGCTCGTGCCAACTGCCAACATTTCAAACACCATCAATCAAAAACAACAAGCAGCAAATGACCCTTTGGTACATTTAGCTCTAGGACTCGCTGTAAGACTGGCTTGTTACTGTGAAAAACAAAACAACATGCTTAATTTTGTTTTCACACTTTAATTCAGTCGAACCGTATAATGGACGTGACTGTGAAGAACTCTACACAGAATAAGGACAGACTTCGGGCGTACACCTGATGAAGGCATTATAGCCGACATTGTGTTGTGTCAGGCCTTTTCTCTCACAAACGTTCGTACCACATGAACATGTCAATGCGCTGTCAATGTGTTAATGTGCTTACAAACCAGCAGAATTTGACTAAGAAAATAGGGGACAGGACTTACCATGGCTAGCTGGCGTCCTATGTTCCCCACAGTCACTCCTCCTGAGAAGAATATGCATGGAAGCCAAGAGCGCACATACAGAAAGTCTGGATACGTGTATCTATAAGAGAGGGAGAAAAATACATCAGATTAAATTAAATATCTGCCCCAATAGTCAAATCTAGCCCCAAATAAGACATGTCGAGACAAGTCTTAAAAGAGGAATGGCAACTTAAACACAGTTTCAAAAACAGATCTCGGAAGGGGGAAGGCAGCATTATTAAAGTTTAATGCAGAAATATAAAATCCTCTCCCTCTCCATTTCATCTCTCTCTTCCCTTCAGTCAACAGAAGCTGTGAGGCCTTTTGAACACAGTTCTTTGTAAGCCCCTCACTGAAGCAACAGAGTGCTCCTTCTCCCCAGGATGTTTTTGAGGAGGTGCCACAGAGGCAGGTAGGAGGGCCAATAATTGGGTGTAGAGGCATGGGGGAATCCGTATCACCAAAAAATAATTGCTTTCATTTTCATGTCTTATCTGTCAGATCCTCTTTACTGGAATCAGGTGACTGAGACCAGTTCCAGAAAATACACTTTAATAATACGTCATTCACAAAGGAGATAGACATCTTTTCTCAAAAAACACCTTATTTGATTCACTGGCTGTACTAAAACTTTAAGGTAAGTAATGATACCATAACATCCACCAAAATATAATAACATCATAATATGGTCATGGCAGCACAGTTGGTAGAGCATGGCACTTGCAACGTCGGGAATATAGGTTCTATTCCCGCTGGGGCCACCCATACAAAAAATGTATACTTGCAGTACTGTATGTCACTTTGAATAAAAACGTCTCCAAAACGGCATATCTTATTATCTTATATCTTGTGAATGCATTTTTGACAGTTGGTCTGCACGGTTAACCCCAATGTGCTGTCATTACTCAAAACTTTTGAGGAAACCCTTTGCACTTAATATATCTGAGTACAGTTACTTAAAGTGATTTTGTAGTTACTCCTCAAACCGATAGTCACTGTGACCCTGTAGGTGGTCCAGATTTGAGTTGTAACGCCCCCACTAAGCCACGCCTCCAATATAATTTCCCAGTGTGCTTTGCATTTGAGTGAATTGTAGAGTTACCACCCATGACTGTATTTGTTAGTGACAGAGAAATGGTTGTTGAATTCGTTCATTTTCAGTCCTGTGGCCTTCAAGTGAGTTCCTAGGTGAATATTATAACTCTTTATGACATTACATTTCTCATAAGGCCTTATTTTGAGGCCTAGCTTTACCCTAATACAGTGGCCTGAAACTCATGGTTTACAGGCCACATCAGGACTGCAAGTACGGTTGCAACATTTTGGTAACTTTCCCAAAATTCCCAGATGTAAAAACATTCTTGGTTGGAGGATTTCCAGGAATCTTCCAACCGGGATTTCTGGAAAACCTGGGAAATTTACCAGAATTTTGCAACCCTACCTGCAAGTCACATTTTGCTGGCTTGCAAAGTGATGAGTAATTGAAAAATAAACATTTGAAAATATATGGCACATGGAAATCATAAGAGGGCAGTTTACGGAGATCGGTGGGATGGACAGAGTAGCTGAGGGGTGAATTTAAAATCATGTTCAATAATAGTTAAGACTGAAAACGCGATGTATAATGTATAAGTACTATCTATCCAGATGTAATGTATATCAAATTACTTTATTCTTGCTATGCAACTACTGTAGTAGAAAAATAAAAGTGCCATGTATGTAAAATGTGTGTAGAAATACATGTAACAATAAAATAAAAAACAAGAGTTAGGATATCCAACAGTTTACATTTTTATTCACCCGCAACCTGCATACATAATGACTGTCAGGGTTAGGAACAGTGGGAGGACACTACCTAAGCCATTTAAACTGGAACAACCATTTCAGCAACGGGTGCAAAAAATCCAACTAAATGATTGGATTAATTTAGAAAAATTGATGATATTTATCTTTGTGTAGCAGAAGATTAATCAAAACAAAATCAACCTGCAGTAGAGCATGCTGGGTAAAAAGTTAATTTGTTATCATAACTTTTAAAATGTAGTTGAAGTGACTTGTCATTTAGTTTTGAGTCAGTACCACAAATATTTTAAGTAATTACTTTTCATTTACTTTGAGTTAAACTTACTAGAAGTATTTGAGTTAAAAATGCCTTGGGATTTACAGTGTGGGGTTAACTTCTCAGTTAGCGTGACATGGTAAAATAAAAGCGTGACTTGACTTACTGATAGACGCCGTTGTAGACCAGCAGCTGTGTGATAACGGTGGCAAGGAATGCCGTCCCGATGCCCAGGCCGAAGCCACTCCTCGAGCGGTCAAACGTCCACCACAGTCCCAGGGACAGGGCAGCCAGGGTCAGGGACAGCTGGGCATTATTGGCAAAGTGTAGTTTCTGTGAAATGGAGCAGTTAAGGACAAAGACTGTATTTGTTTGCATAGGTTCGAATCCAGGCCTACTACCCTTTGACACAACCTCTCTCTTCCCCACAGTCATCATCTCTTAGTATCTCTTCAGTAAAAAAATCCCTTCAAATATGTTTATAAAATATAGTATTTGTTTGACTGTTACATCAAAGCATTACAGTGTGGTTGGCACAAGCTGTGTATATGTTTAAAGCAACTATCTGTTCCATACATACTTGGAAGGTATGTCAAGGAATCAAAACAAGCAGGAATGCTGTGGGGAATTCCACCCACTGTCCCACTGACACTAGCTGAATTGCCTTCGGGGCTGTAAAAGTAGTAAAACAACAATATAATATATCAAACTAATCACAGAATGTTACTCAATTATTAATTACACATTTAGTAGACCCTCATCCTTGTTTAAGCTCTGGATGTGATAAAATTACTTTGGTGTAAATATGTGTCCGTCCTTTTCTAGATTGGAGGTAGCCAACATGAGAGCGTGCACATTGTGAAGTTGTTGTTGTTTAGAAAGGATACAGCACTGGCATGGTTGATGCCAACGAACACTGCGATGCATCTCATGACACTGGCCCATTCCCTCTTGAACTTGTGGGGCTCTCCTAGATGGCTGTCGATGCAGGGGTATAGCAGGCCAACAACAGCTGCAGAAAGGACAGTTGAGTTAGTACATCACTAAATAGCCTACATACAAATCAAACTGACTCATATTGTTCTATGGGCTTGAAAATGGTATTTCTTTGAGTTTCAATTTGGGATCAAAATAGACAGAAATGAAACAAACAACAAGATTGCTTTCTACTTTCACTTTCAGGGACACTTTATTATTTCCCGCCTATCAGTCATTGCAAACATGTCTGTAACCTGTGAAAAGACAAGTCTGGAACATTGTATCACTAAAATAAAAACGTTACATCATTGTCTCCAAATTGAATTGTAACATTCTTATTTCTATTTTTTTGTGAATCACTACTTCTCAAGAACATGAGGGAGGGGTTGGTGGTGAAAATTATTTATTTATTTAATTCTGACTGCACACGACTTCCTTGTTTCTCTTTTTCTGTAGTGGCATGTTCGAGGCAGCAGCCAATTATGGACCACCTCCACAGCTCACCCGTTATGAAAGCAGCCAATGAAAAAGAAGCACAACCCTAATGACCCTCCATATCCGGCTGTTTCTAGGGAAGCCTATTGGAGCATTGGAGGGCAATATAAATACTACTGTATGTTTTCCCCAGACAAAACACTCACCATTATGGGCTCATGGCTGCGAGAACACTTACACAATGAATATATAGAACAATAACAATGATGGAATAAACGGTAAATGATTATGTAGCCCAGGCTGTAGTTAGCTGCCTATAATGGCATCATGAAACACACAAGCTGACCAGCCCCATCCTATCCCACCCCTCCCCCCTTCAAAGCCCAATTCACATTCCTTGATCCATATTTAAAGTACATATAGCAACCTCATTCATTCATACAGAATGATTAACTCAAGATATAGGTTTAAAAGTGACAACTCACCAGCTGCCGTGCCGCAGCAAGGGGGAATCCACCACGCTGATGAAAACAAAGTTGCCATCACCTCTTCGGGAAACAAAGTCACATTTCTTTGTAACTGCAGCAAGTTGAGCACCAATGCAAGAACTACTCCCACGGTGAAAAGGACGAGACCCCGTCTGATCAAGTTTGCTGTTCGCACACTGTGCAGCGAGCCATATGCATTGCTGAGCACTGTCGTGACAATGGACATCATTTCTTCAGCTCTCGATGCGACCCAGTTTCCCCCAGAAAAATGATTAGATTCCACCCTCGATGCACAGGATCGACTCCAACAGTGTTCTTCTAGTCTTGGCATTTGGCACTTAAGAGTGCTGGAAACAACAAAGATGCGTTAATACATCGTAGCTAACACAGATTTGCATCAATACGTTATATCTAATCTAAAGGAACACCGGCAACAATGTTGCAAGACCACCACTAAGCTAGACAGACATCAAATAAAAGAGGTGTCTAGCCTGGCCTTTGTAGATCATGTTTTTCTCAAGCAGTTTTACCACTACATTTCAATTTGCCACAATCTTACTATGATTATCAATTGACAATAGCAACGCAGAATGAATCGATCTCTTCTAACCTTGATCTCCAGACGTTCCAACTGTATGATCTAACGAGAACCGACTTTGTTCATTCGCACCTCGACAATGATGAAGCTGTGAGTTGTACTGCTCTAAGACTGTTATCACGTTGTTAGATCACATCACCGTTGGGAGAGAGAGGCAGAAAAAAGCTGCAATTTCATTCCTGAGCGCAGACCTCATTCCAGAGACAGACTTCCTCTGCAGAAAACAGTCACAGCTGTGTCGGGTGAGTCGCGTCGGCCAATGGGAGCTAGGCGAACGATGTGACGCGACGCCACCCCACTGCCCTGTTGTTCAGGACAGTGAGACGACGTCATACGAGTCTGGCGCACGTTCATACAGTCTGTCTGCATTCGTGGAAGGTTGGAGTAGGATACGCAAACCAGTGATCACTTCAAATAAAGTGAGCAAACATCCAATTGAAAAACGAAACAAACTTATTCAAAAGTCATTCCGATGAAGCAGGGCGTACATTTACATTGGTCTACAGTAGGCCTATTATCTTACAAATAAAAATGCCGGATCAGCTGTGTTATCCTGGGTCCATATAACATTAACTTTTTCCAACCCAAATATTTGAAATAGCTTACTGACTACTAGTTTTTGAGCATTTTCATATGTTTCAACAGGCAGGCCTAGTTTGATAGTTCTTAAAGACCATACCCAACATAAACTCTTGAATTCTGGCAGGTGGTCTTTCAAAGACCCACTCCAGCACACACCTTCCAGGCAGGTTGGTGAAAACCGGGTCAGCAGAACAGCTTCAGCCAATGACTGTTGACCGAGCCCAACCCAGCTAAAGGCCAGTGATAACATCACCAAAGGGGGTCAATGACTGGATAACCCCCAGGTCTCAAGGTACTGATACTGACAACAACAAGGAAACATGTTTTGCAGGTGTCATGTGACCCAGTATTCTGAGTGGTTACACAATCCACATGCATCAGGTGATGTGTAGATGAACAAATACTGTATGGCACACCGGCATCATCCGATACATACAGTTGAAGTCGGAAGTGTACATACACTTAGGTTAAAACTCGTTTTTCAACCACTCCACAAATTTCTTGTTAACAAACTATAGTTTTGGCAAGTCGGTTAGGACATCTACTTTGTACATGACACAAGTAATTTTTCCAACAATTGTTTACTGACAGATTATTTCACTTATAATTCACTGTATCACAATTCCAGTGGGTCATAAGTTGACTGTGCCTTTAAACAGCTTGGAAAAGTCCAGAAAATGATGTCATGGCTTTAGAAGCTTCTGGCTAATTGACATAATTTGAGTCAATTGGAGGTGTACCTGTGGATGTATTTCAAGCCCTACCTTCAAACTCAGTGCCTCTTTGCTTGACATCATGGGAAAATCAAAATAAATCAGCCAAGACCTCAGAAAAAAAATTGTAGACCTCCACAAGTCTGGTTCATCCTTGGGAGCAATTTCCAAACGCCTGAAGGTACCACGTTCATCTGTACAAACAATAGTACGCAAGTATAAACACCATGGGACCACGCAGCCGTCACACCACTCAGGAAGGAGACGTGTTCTGTCTCCTAGAGATGAACGTACTTTGGTGCAAAAAGTACAAATCAATCCCAGAACAACAGCAAAATACCTTGTGAAGATGCTGGAGGAAACAGGTACAAAAGTATCTATATATCCACAGTAAAACAAGTCTTATATTGACATAACCTGAAAGGCCGCTCAGCAAGGAAGAAGCCACTGCTCCAAAACCGCCATAAAAAAGCCAGACTACAGTTTGCAACTGCACATGGGGCCAAAGATCATACTTTTTGGAGAAATGTCCTCTGGTCTGATGAAACAAAAATATAACTGTTTGGCCATAATGACCATCGTTATGTTTGGAGGAAAAAGGGGATGACTTGCAAGTCGAAGAACACCATCGCAACTGTGAAGCACGGGGGTGGCAGCATCATGCTGTGGGGGTGCTTTGCTGCAGGAGGGACTGGTGCACTTCACAAAATAGATGGCATCATGAGGAAGGAAAATTATGTGGATATATTGAAGCAACAACTCAAGACATCAGTCATTAAGTTAAAGCTTGGTCGCAAATGGGTCTTCCAAATGGACAATGACACCAAGCATACTTCCAAAGTTGTGGCAAAATGGCTTAAGGACAACAAAGTCAAGGTATTGGAGTGGCCATCACAAAGCCCTGACCTCAATCCTATATAATATTTGTGGGCAGAACTGAAAAAGTGTGTGCGAGCAAGGAGTCCTACGAACCTGACTCAGTTACACCAGCTCTGTCAGGAGGAATGGGCCAAAAGTCACCCAACTTATTGTGGGAAGCTTGTGGAAGGCTACCCGAAATGTTTGACCCAAGTTAAACAATTGAAAGGCAAAGCTACCGAATACTAATTGAGTGTATGTAAACTTCTGACCCAATGGGAATGTGATGAAAGAGATTAAAGCTGAAATAAATAATTCTCTCTACTATTATTCTGACATTTCACATTCTTAAAATAAAGTGGTGATCCTAACTGACCTAAGACAGGGAATCTTTCCTAGAATTAAATGTCAGAACTGAGTTTAAATGTATTTGGCTAAGGTGTATATAAACTTCAGACTTCAACTGAATAGGCTACATGCACACGCACACACACCACACACACATCAACACCATTATCCCAGAAACCCTAGACCCACTCCAATTTGCATACCGCCCCAACAGATCCACAGATGTTGCAATCTCTATTGCACTCCACACTGCCCTTTCCCACCTGGACAAGAGGAACACCTACGTGAGAATGCTATTCATTGACTATAGCTCAGCATTCAACACCATAGTGCCCTCAAAACTCATCACTAAGCTAAGGATCCTGGGACTAAACACCTCCCTCTGCAACTGGATCCTGGACTTCCTGACGGGCCGGCCCCAGGTGGTAAGGGTAGGTAACAACACATCTGCCACACTGATCCTCAACACGGGGGCCCCTCAGAGGTGCGTGCTCAGTCCCCTCCTGTACTCCCTGTTCACCCATGACTGCATGGCCAGGCACGACTCCATCACCATCATTAAGTTTGCAGATGACACAACAGTGGTAGGCCTGATCACCGACAACGATGAGACAGCCTATAGGGAGGAGGTCAGAGACCTGGCCGTGTGGTGCCAGGATAACAACCTCTCCCGCAACGTGACCAAGACAAAGGAGATGATTGTGGACTACAGGAAAAAAAAGAGGACTGAGCACACCCCCATTCTCATCGACGGGGCTGTAGTGGAACAGGTTGAGAGCTTCAAGTTCCTTGGTGTCCACATCACCAACGAACTATCATGGTCCAAACACACCAAGACAGTCGTGAAGAGGGCACGACAAAGCCTATTCCCCCTCAGGAGACTGAAAAGATTCGGCATGGGTCCTCAGATCCTCAAAAAATTATACAGCTGCACCATCGAGAGCATTCTGACTGGTTGCATCACCGCCTGGTATGGCAACTGTTTGGCCTCCGACCGCAAGGCACTACAGAGGGTAGTGCGTACAGCCCAGTACATCACTGGGGCCAAGCTTCCTGCCATCCAGGACCTCTATACCAGGCGGTGTCAGAGGAAGGCCCTCAAAATTGTCAAAGACGCCAGCCACCCTAGTCATAGACTGTTCTCTCTGCTACCGCACGGCAAGCGGTACCGGAGTGCCAAGTCTAGGTCCAAAAGACTTCTCAACAGCTTCTACCCCCAAGCCATAAGACTCCTGAACAGCTAATCATGGCTACCCGGACTATTTGCACTGCCCCCCCACCCCATCTTTTTACGCTGCTGCTACTCTGTTAATTATTTATGCATAGTCACTTTAACTCTACCCACATGTACATATTACTTCAACTACCTCAACTAGCCGGTGCCCCCACACATTGACTCTGCACCGGTACCCCCCTGTATATATAGCCTCCCTACTGTTATTTTATTTTACTTCTGCTCTTTTTTTTCTCAACACTTTTTTGTTGTTGGTTTATTTTACTTTTTTATTAAAAATAAATGCACTGTTGGTTAAGGGCTGTAAGTAAGCATTTCACTGTAATGTCTGCACCTGTTGTATTCGGCGCATGTGGCCAATAACATTTGATTTGATTTGATTTGATTTGAAATGGCTTTTATACTGCATTTGGCATTAGATCTCAAAGTTACTTGCATAACCCAGGTTCTCTGATATCTCAACTTTAGTGATTGAGTGAGATACTGTATCTCACCTGCGGTGACAATCATTCTTCCCAAGTCAATGTTTGGTCACACATCAACGTTTTAAAATCTCAATTTACACATACAATTTCATGCCAAGTCAATTTGCATACTGCCAACAACAGGGAAACATTTCTGAGTCATCTGCATGTTATGTGTAGTGTGACAGCCACAATATTTGCAGCCTACTCAGTTGTCCCTTACTGAAAAACCACATGATTATGTGGAAATTACGTTTTTGTTTTTTTCATAAGGTGAAAATGTACATGTGAAATCATGCGAAACCATGTGGTTTTGGAACACTTCACATGTGATGATATTTCTCATGAAGTTTCACATGGATATTTTGACATTTCACAGGTGATGCCTGCAAACAAAAGTAAGTCCTTAGGCTGTCCCGGAACATCACACGGTCACAGTGTTTTCAACTTAAATATTTGACACTCTTTGACATACCTGATTACATTGTGAATGTTTATTTATACAATAAGTGAACTCACAACCTCTTTGTTTACGGCAGTCAAGCATCGATCATCATGTCACCAGAATAACACTCAATATTTATTGGAATGGAGCATCAAGTTCACCGTGCACTTTCACCTCCCTGTGAAGTTCATCATAACTTATTTCACTTGTAGCCTAATAAACTGCATGCTTTCCCAAGTCATAGTGGGAGGACCACAAACCATGTCATTCCGTGACTCCAAGTTTACTTCGATATGATGGTTGTTATATCAGGCGTTTCCACTGCCATTTCTGGCATAATCTTTTTACTAACACAAAAAGATCCTACCATGTCAAACAAACAAATTATAATAATAATAATAATAATAATATGCCATTTAGCAGACGCTTTTATCCAAAGCGACTTACAGTCATGCGTGCATACATTTTTGTGTATGGGTGGTCCCGGGGATC